CCGGCAGAGCCCGAGGAGGAGCTGGGAATTGGGGATGAGACGGCTGGGGGTGAGCGTGGGGAGGGGGCGGGTGGGCTCCTGACTGAAATAAAGAATTAGTGGGTGCATGCACAGCTGGGTGCTCACACATCTGGATGGGTCCATGCACAGCTGGGTCCGTGCACAGCTGGCTGGGTCCATGCACAGCTGGGTCCATGCACAACTGGCTGGTGCATGCCCAGCTGGATGGGTCCATGCTCAGCTGGCTGGGTCCATGCACAGCTGGGTCCATGCACAACTGGCTGGTGCATGCCCAGCTGGATGGGTCCATGCTCAGCTGGCTGGGTCCATGCACAGCTGGGTCCATGCACAACTGGCTGGTGCATGCCCAGCTGGATGGGTCCATGCTCAGCTGGCTGGGTCCATGCACAGCTGGGTCCATGCACAACTGGCTGGTGCATGCCCAGCTGGATGGGTCCATGCTCAGCTGGCTGGGTCCATGCACAGCTGGATGGGTGCGTGCACAGCTGGGTGCTCACACATCTGGGTGGGTCCATGCGCAGCTGGGTCCATGCACATCTGGATGGGTCCATGCACAGCTGGATGAGTGCATGCACAGCTGGATGGGTCCACGCACAGCTGGATGGGTCCATGCTCAGCTGGCTGGGTCCATGCATAGCTGGCTGGGTGCTCGCACATCTGGATGGGTCCATGCACAGCTGGGTGCATGCACAGCTGGCTGGGTCTATGCACAGCTGGCTGGGTGCTCACACATCTGGATGGCTGCTCACAGACTGGCCCTGCCCCAGGCTCACAGCAGGCCCCAATATGGAATTTCAAGGCATTCATGGAGAGACCCAGAGCGAGGGCACAAATCCCTGTCCCTCCTCCTCAAGCAGGAGGGTGCAGGAGCGGGATTTTGTCATCCCAGAGCTCCCTCACCTCTCCATTTTCTGACTGACACAGTTCCACAGCAGCTGGGGCAAAACTGACGGATTCTGACAGCTTAATGTCACCCCTGGCGGCGAGCTGGGGAGGCAGGGACAAGCCCAGGGCACACCAGAGCCCCCCTGCTCTTCCCAAAAAGTCTCCTTCTCATCCCTGCATCTCCTCTCCAGCTGTTCCCAAGGCTTTATCCACAACCCCGGCATCCAAACCTTGGGCTCAGCATATTCCGAGCAAGAAAGCTTTAATGCCTTGGGTTTTTTTGTTGGGTTTTTTTTTTTTTCTTTTTCCCAAACCCACCCCACATCCCAGCCAGCGTTTTAATTTCTGGAATTTCCTGCCCTGTGAGTGTTTGGTTTCCCAATGGCAGAGCCAGCCCGGCTCCGGTGCTCGCGGTTAATTACAGGGAGCGCCGAGCCCTCGGCCCAGCCTTTGAAGGTGTCGCCTGGCGGGGTTTAATTTTGACATAAGGAAGCTTCCAGCGCCCATCTGGGGGTTGAGAACCATCCTGGAAGCAGCAGGGAGGGGCTTTTCCCCCCCTTTACACCCCCCCATCACCCCTAAACCCAGCGCTGCTCCCAAAACGGAGCAGGATGTGAATCACCTGGATCCTTCTGGGAAGCGCCAGGGCAAAGGCGGCCGCGGAGCCGTGCCAGCCCCAGGCTGAGCTGCAAATAGCAGGGTTGGACAGCAAAAACACCGGACTTCCGAGCTGGGAGAGCTCGGCTGGCCCTGCCATAAATTAATCGCACATGTCGGGGCAGCCAGCGTCCTTCCAGCGTCCCTCCGGCTGCTGCCCTGCAGGAAAACACCAGATTGAGGAGAGCCCCGAGCAGGGGAGAACCATCCAGAAGCGACAGTCGTGCTCACAGAGGTGCTGTGGAGTTCAGGTTTTAGGTTTGGGGTGGAGAATCTCTGTTGGAACGACACCCAGCGCTGGAGCCTGACCCGTGCTGTGCTGATTTATGGGGGTTTTTTTTTTTAGTCATTTGTCTATTTTTGTGAGAAAAAAGGGCCCTGAAATCCCAAATTAATGAAGGGGCTGCCTGGCCCACGCAGTGCCGTGAGCCCTGATCCAACATAAACCACAGCAGGGACTGCCTGCAGTTTAGAATAAACATTTTCGCAGAAAGATGGAAATAATCCCCCCATTCACCCAGGGTTTTTAGGTCCGTTTGACGCTTTTTCTGTTGCCCGGAGCCACGTTTGCTGGGGCTGACGGGCTCCATCCATCCCCCCAGGTCCACCTGATGAAGCCTGAGGCCGTGCCCAAGGCGTGCTGTGCCCCCACCAAGCTCAGCGCCACCTCTGTCCTCTACTACGACAGCAACAACAACGTCATCCTCAAGAAACATCGGAACATGGTGGTGAAATCCTGCGGCTGCCACTGATGGACAGGTCCCACTGCCATCTCTGGGTGTGCCATTGTCACCCCTGGGTGTCCCACTGCCATCCCTGGGTGTGCCATTGTCACCCCTGGGTGTCCCACTGCCATCCCTGGGTGTGCCATTGTCACCCCTGGGTGTCCCACTGCCATCCCTGGGTGTGCCATTGTCACCCCTGGGTGTCCCACTGCCATCCCTGGGTGTGCCATTGTCACCCCTGGGTGTCCCACTGCCATCCCTGGGTGTGCCATTGTCACCCCTGGGTGTCCCCTTGTCACCCCTGAGTGTCCCATTCCCACCCCAAGTGTCCCATTCCCTTTCCTGGATGTCCCATTGTCACCCCTGAGTGTCCCATTGCCACCCCTGGGTGTCCCCTTGTCACCCCTGAGTGTCCCATTGTCACCCCTGGATGTCCCATTGTCACACCTGGGTGTCCCATTGTCACACCTGGGTGTCCCATTCCCCTCCCTGGATGTCCCATTCCCACCCCTGAGTGTCCCATTGTCACACCTGGGTGTCCCATTCCCCTCCCTGGATGTCCCATTCCCACCCCTGGGTGTCCCCTTGTCACCCCTGAGTGTCCCATTGTCACCCCTGGATGTCCCCTCCCATTCCCACCCGAGCAATGTCACCCTGGGGTTCTGCTGCCTGCTTGGAGGAGCTTTGTGGGCTGCATCACAACAAATTAATAACAATAACAACAATAATAAAACCCAAAAATAAACCCCTCCCACCCCTTTCCAGAAGTGGATGTAAATAATACAAATCTTCCTTTCTCTCCTCCTGCTCGGTGAGACACATAGGTATACACAAATATATATATTTATATAGGAAAGAGAGGATTTGGGGCTGATTCTGTTTTATCTGTGACTGATTTCTCTTCAAAAAGGCAGTTTTTGGTGGGAGGAGGCAGCATCCAGGTTTCTCTGGGACTGAGCTGTTTCTGTCTGTGCATTTCTCCACTAACCCACCCCTCCCCAAGTGCTTTTAATTCCCTTAATGAAAATATCATCAGCCAATTAAGCAGCTGGCTGACTAAACCCCTCCTGTTTACCCAAAGTTCACCTAACTCTGCCAGTTGGAAAAAAAAAAAATTAAAATATCCATATTGAGCTGCAGCACTGTTATAAAATAAACGCAAAGTCTGGAAAGTAAATACGGAGTTTCTCTTGCTCGTTGTTTTTTAATGTCACAGCACAACAGGGCTCTGTTCACAGGACATTTTGCAATGAAAAAAATACTCAGAATTGGCTAAAATTGGACCTTTTTGCTTGAAAATGAGCCCTGATGTGAGTTTTAGGTCAGGCTGTGCCCATCCCGTGGGCTCCCAGCGGGGCTGCCAGTCCCAGGCAGCTTCCCCAAGCTATTTGCACAATTCAATTATTTATTTGCTCTGATTTTAAAAGGAAAAAGCCTGTCCTGGTTCTCAGCTCAGCTACCTGGTGAACCTTACATCAATAAATAAGGAAAGAACTTGGCACAGTCGGGGAAAAAATCCCAATAACGCCACCAAAATAAGAAAGATTTGCTGACTTTAAAATGTGGGATTTGAACAAAAAGAGGAAAGGGGAAGCTGGGCTGGAATCACATCCTTGCATCTCACCTTGTCTCAGCTTTAGGACAATGCACAGTGGAAAGCAGCCAGTGAAAGAAAGCAACCCTTATGGAAATATTCCTTACGGAAATATTCCTTATGGAACCATCCCTTATGGAAATATTCCTTATGGAAAAGCAACAGTGCTGACTTGTGAGGGGCTGGGCAACCCCCAAATCCCCAGTGGCACAAGCACTTCCAAACATCCCCAAAATCCAAAAATCAGCTCTTCCTCTCCAAAATCCAAAAATCAGCTCTTCCTCTCCAAAATCCAAACATCAGCTCTTCCTCTCCAAAATCCAAAAATCAGCTCTTCCTCTCCAAAATCCAGAAATCAGCTCTTCCTCTCCAAAATCCAAAAATCAGATTTTCCTCTCCACCTCAGCAGCCTCACCCCTCCTGCCAATACCTGCACAAGCTCAGAACCAAACATCCCTTCTGGAATTTCACAGGAAACCCCAAATCCATCACTTCCTGGTCACCCTGAAGGGCAAAGCCCACCACAGGAACCATAAATCCATGTGTTTTATCCCACTCTGCAGCCTGGAGTCTGGAGTTCCCTTCCTGCAGCCTCATCACTCTGGGCTTTTTCATTTTTCCTTCTTCTTCATCACCCAAAGGGCTCCCTCATTTCCTGGTGCTCCTTGTCCTGACCGTGTTCTCCAGGCAGGGATGGGGATGGAGCTGGACCAGGTTTCCCAGCAGGAGGACCTGCCTCCCTCTGCTGCTGGAAAAGGACACTACAAAGCCAAAAAAGGCCTCCAGGAGATGCTGCTCCACCCTCAGGAGGTTCAGCTCTGCTCTTCTCCCCCTGGCACTGGCACCTTCCCCTGGATGCAGGATTCAGGCACGGGATTGATGAAGATGAGGGCAAACACAAAAACCAGAAAAAGCATCTCTGCTCAAAGACCAGCCTCCCACAGAGGGAATTCAGCAGCCAGGCCCTCAGTGTTTTTAAAACTAGGTTTTATTTTTACCAAACATAATTTATTTTTTTTTCCCAGAACACGGCAGCAGGACCAGCCCAGCCCTGCTCAGGCAGCAGATATCCTTCCCAGGAAGGATAAATCCTGCCCACAGGAATATTTGGAGGGGAATTCCTATGGAAGCTGCAGGATGGGCAGTGCTGGGGGGGTCCCTGGGGTGTCCCTGTCCCTCCATCCAGCCCCTCCAAGCACCGAGCTCACGGGCACTCCCCGCAGTCCGAGATGATCACCTTCTGCTTTGGCTTCCCATCTTTGGTGCCCTGAGCCTTGGGGAAAAAAGAGCAGCAGGAATTGCAGGCACTAATCCTCAGGGCAGGAAAGGAAGTGGGCTCTGCCCCCAGCACCCCCCTGCCCTCACCTACCTCGATCTCCCGCACCACATCCATGCCCTCCGTCACCTCCCCGAACACCACGTGCTTCCCGTCCAGCCAGTCTGTCTTGTCACAGGTGATGAAGAACTGGGAGCCGTTGGTGTTTGGGCCAGAGTTTGCCATGGACACCGTCCCTGGGATCAGGGAGAGCAGAATTATGGCAGAGCACAGGAGCTGCTGCTTCAGCCCAGCCCCATTCCCATGTCCCACAAAAAGCTGCCGGGCTCAGGGGAGCTGCTGGATATCAAAATCCACAGAAACTACTGGAAATCAATTATGCTTGCAAGTGTGAAAGATGCTCAGCTATTTTTATTTTTCTTAACAACAAAGCTGTTTGTATGGAGATAAACCTGCTTGCTTGCTCCTGCCTCTCACAGTCATGCTGTGACATTCCTTGTTTAAAATCAAGCAGGAAAAGCAGCTTTGAAATTGTTCTTCCTTTATGGAATACTGTAAATAAAGTGGATGGAGAGGGAATGATGCACTTCTGCTTGGTGAGATGAGGGTCTGAATGTGACAGAAGAATCCGGTCAATGTAGATTATAATAATTATAATTATAATTATAATTCAGGGCTGATGGTATCAACACGGCCAAAACAGCCCGAATGTGATCCCTAGACGATGCTGAGCCATTTCCTCTCCTGGAGATGGCTTTACCTGGCCCTGTGTGTTTGAGGATGAAGTTTTCATCATCAAACTTCTTTCCATAGATGGATTTGCCGCCGGTGCCGTTGTGGTTGGTGAAGTCTCCGGCCTGGCACATGAACTGGGGGATGACGCGGTGGAAGCTGCTGCCTTTGAAGCCAAATCCTTTCTCGTGGGTGCAGAGGCAGCGGAAATTCTCTGTGTAGGGGGGCAAAGAGGGGGTGAGAGCTGTGCCACCCTGGGAGTCAGCAGCAGCAGGAGGAGGAGGAGGAGGAGGAGGAGGAGGAGGTGCTCCTCACCTGCGGTCATGGGCACCACGTCGGAGCGCAGCAGGATCCGCAGCCGCCCCGCGGGTTTGTTCCCGATCTTGATGTCCATGTAAACCTGGGGGTTGACCCGGGATTTCTTGGCAGGAGGCTCGTCCTGGGCAGGAAAAGAATGAAAAGCAAGTTGAGGTGACGTTTCTCTGCTCTGCCTCCAGCTCTACATTCTCATCCTTTGGGATGCGGATGGCTCCGGTTGGATTTCCTACCTCCTGTGCCTCTGCTTTGGGGGCCTCTGCTCCTCCCTCCTCCTTGTTCTCCTCCAAAGTCTTCCCTGAAAACTTCTTCAGCCACTCATCATCTGACCAGACTGTGGCCACAAAAGGAAAGGTCAGAGCACAGGAATTGACCCAAAGCTTATGAGCTGTGTCCCTTTATGAGCACGGAGCTCCGAGCAGCCCCAGCCACGTTCTGCTCCCCAGCTCACCAGGCCTGGATGATCCTTCTTTAATCCTCATGGGTTTGGCCAGGTTCACACGGATTGTCCTGCCAAAGAGCTCGGACTCGTTCTGCAGAGGGGGAAAAAAGCACAAAACAGCCCACCAAAAGGTATAAAACCAGCGTGCCCCCCAAAGCCCTGCAGAGCTCAGAGGACAGAGCTTGTGCTCTCCCTGCAGCCCACCCAAGCAGCAAAGCCACACATCCCCATGGAACAGGGAGCAGGAGTGGGAGCAGGGTCCATACCATGTTGTCAATAGCTGCTGCTGCATCCTGCCCAAAAAAAAATCAAAATAAAATCATTATTAACATTCATTCTCAAGGCCCAGCATAGCCAGGTCCCAGCAGCTCTTTATAAAAAGACGACTGCCAGGTTTTCCTAAACCTCATCTATCCCAGGGATGTATGAACTGATGGGTTTTGTAAAAGCCATATCCAAACCCATCCATGTGGGTCTCAACTTCCAACAACCCACTAACCCCCTTGTATTTAAGATGCTTTATTGCTGCCACGAGCATTTGGGAGAGGAGAGATTTGTGTATGAAGCCCAGGACAGATGTAAGAGGACAAATATATGACAGCCCACGGAGGTCATGAAACTGAGAAACCCGGCCAGGGGTTTGGGTTGGAAACAGGAAAAGTGGGAAC